CATTTTCGATACTATCAAGAATGTCTTTCTCAATATATGCAATCCAACTATCATCCGTCCTTTGATCTTCCATTTGATCGAGTAACCGGTTCGTCACGATCCTCGCAGCACAAAACGCCCTCTCTACAGTAGGAGTTGCAACTGGTAAGATAAGTGCCAATGTCAACAGCAAGTAAACTAATGAGTAAACAGAGTCTTTTTTTGTCTCAACCATTTTCTGTGCAAGATCCGCAATCCCATTCAATCCTGAAAACTCAATGCTGGAGCGCAAGGCCATAATGTACATCTTAAGCTGATCTTCAAGTATCATCAAGTCAAGTGCAGAAAAGTCATTTGGGTAATACTGAGCAAGCCGAATCAACTTTTTCTTGTCATAAGCAGAGAATGAATCGCTTGGATTCAAATTATTTTAGACCAAAGATATTTTATCTGCAATTGTCATCAATATGACAATGACAACAAAATTATTTTAGACCAAAGATATTTTATCTGCAATTGTCATCAATCCCTTCTGCAAGAGATGAGATTATCAGCCGTTACCGCTTACCGCTTTAATCCAGGAAGATGTAGCCAAAGCAACTGGTAGCTTAATAGCTGCCGCCTATATGTGCTCGTATACGTCAGTGTGCTATTCTGTGCCAATAATATAATGTAATATGAAGAAGCTAAAATTTGTGGCATTGTGTTATTAGTTTGTGATACTGAGATGCAAATTGGGATGTATATATATATTTTTCATTCAATCATTGTACTGAATAAATAAAAGAATAATCAAGAGCTTGAATTTACAGGCTTATGCAGAAGGTAAAAAAGGATTTTTTTAATAACTCTCCTCTATAAAAACTCCCAAGGGTTTTAATGAAGCAGTCAAAAATTTAGAAATCCAATCACTGTAACCTTTTGGGGGTGTGTGTGTCTCTCTCTAAGAGAGAAGAGAAAGAGGGAAGGATGGAGATGGAAAAGAAAACACAGAGTACCAGGTTGGTCTTAGTCCCATGTCCATACCAAGGTCACATATCCAATGCTTCAGCTGGGTTCCTTCCTTCACTCAAAGGGCTTTTCCATCACTGTTATTCACACCCAGTTCAACTCCCCCAACCCTTCAAACCACCCGGATTTCACCTTCTTTCCAATACAAGATGGCTTGACTGCTGAAGAGATCTCATCTGAGAATGCAGTGGCCATTTTGCTGGCCATAAATGCCAACTGCACAGCGAGTTTCCGGCAGCGCTTGACTCAAGTTATGGAACAGGAACCCGAGAACAAAATCACCTCCGTTATCCATGATGACCTTATGTACTTCACTGAAGCTGTAGCTAAGGATCTAAACATCCCAAACATCATGCTACGAACTACCAGCGTTACCAATTTTCTAGCTCGTACTGCTCTCCTACGGCTTCATTCAAAAGGTCACATCCCATTCCCAGGTATGTGCCATATATATTTCTTAATCAGAATGTAAAATCTATGTCTATCATTCTGCAAAGCTATTCTAATTCCCAGATGTTCGTTTTTCTTACTTATAACTAAGAACACAACACTGTTGGATTGCAGACTCTCAGTCACTGAGTCCGTTGCCCGATGTTGATCACCTCAGGTTGAAGGATCTGCCCACCAACAACTTCGACACAGTAGAAAAGTACTCAGAACTAGCCGGTAATGCACACGATGTGAGGACAGCATCAGCAATCGTTTGGAACACCACTGATTGTCTTGAACAATCATCACTAGCACAGATCCAGCAACAGTGCCCAGTTCCAATCTTCTCCATAGGTCCTCTTCACAAGATTGAAGCAGCAGCTTCTAGTAGCTTACTAGAAGAGGACACAAGCTGCATTGGGTGGCTCGACAAGCAATCTAACAACGCGGTTATCTATGTAAGCTTGGGAAGTGTAGCATCCATCAGTCAGAAAGAGCTCGCCGAAATGGCTTGGGGATTGGCTAACAGCAAGCAGCCCTTCTTATGGGTGATCAGACCTGGCTCAGTAGGTGGTTCAAATTGGATGGAGCTATTGCCTAAAGGTTTCACAGAAGCGATTGGAGAACGCGGTTACATTGTAAAATGGGCACCCCAGAGGAAAGTTTTGTCCCATCGCGCAATCGGAGGGTTTTGGAGTCACTGCGGTTGGAACTCAACCCTAGAGAGTTTGTCGGAAGGGATTCCAATGATATGCCTGCCGTCTTTTGGCGATCAGAAGGTGCATTCCAGGTATGTTAGCCTAGTATGGAAAGTAGGGCTACATTTGGACAATGAGTTAGAGAGAGGAGAGATTGAGAGAGCTGTCAGGAAACTGATGGTAGATGCTGATGGGGACGTGATGAGGGGTAGGGCCAAGGATTTGAAGGAGAAAATAGAAGTTTCTTTGAGGAAAGGCGGTTCTTCCTACGAATTCTTGAATAAGCTTGTAGAACTTATCATGTCACTTTAATTATGTGTTTTTTACCACAACCTTGAATAAAGTTTCCTGCAGATGGATGCAAGAAAGAATTCCTTTGTAGTCCGTCCTCACCTTTGAATAAAATGTCCTATATATTGCAATGCATTAGTTGGTAACACAAATCTCTCAAGGAGTCCCAGTGATATGCCAACCATATGTAAGGATCAACAATATTTTCTTTTGGAAGTGCGATATTATAAACTGCTCTAATTTACGGCGATGAGAATTTGAACAAGAATTTGAACTTGGCTGCAAAAGAACGAATTCACTACCATAATCAACGAGTCTAACTCACATTTGCAAATTTCATCATTAATTTCTTACGAACATACTGTAAACATACAAAAGAAGTAAACTTATATGATTCTGAACAAAACAAGACAGTAGGAGTGAATTTTATTAACAAACAAAAAAAATACATAGTAGATGACACTAACATCAAGTTCCACACTACACATTACATTGATTTCAGCTAAAAGCATCACAAACACACACCTATGTGGTACATTTCAATGACACAAAGACACAAACTTTTCATATTCCGACACAAAACGAGGTTACCCATTATCTTAATTTACCCAGAAAGTGCACCCGATCACTTCAATCATCGCCGGAAATTTCAATAACCCTGACATCACGACTGCCGGCGGCGGCCGCCAACTTAGGAACAGTCACAGTGAGCACTCCATTGCTCATGAACGCCTTGAGCTCCTCGATCCTGGCGTCGTCCGGCAGCTTCATCCTCGTCGTGAAGCTGCCGCTGTCGGTGCTGATCTGGAGCACTCGCTCGTCCTCAAGCGAAACGAGCACTTCCTCGTTGGCGAACGCCGGCAGCGCCGCGGTCAGGACGTGGGCGTTTCGGGTCTCTCTCCAGTCGAGCCGGGAGTTCACGGAAGAAAACGGATTGAAATCCCGGAAGACGTTGGAGATTGGGGAATGGAATGGAAATGCCCGGAATGGGAAATCCGTGAATGGGTCCCACAGGTCGAGGGCCGATGAGAGGTTGTCGAAGTCGTCGCTGCCTCGCCGCTCGTTGATTGGGACGATCGACATCTTTGTCTGGAAAAAAAGTAGGAGAGGAAAGTGAGGAACTTTGAGGATGGTTGTGGAAGTAGGAGCCGAGAGAGCTTGTTAGTGGTTTTCTGTACTGACAAAGTTGCGGGAGGGGAAGGAGCTCGCAGGTTCTAGAAATTAGGTGGGCCGTGGAGGCCATTGGGCTGGAACAAAATGATCCATTAAGATTTGATCAAACAAACCAAGAAGTTGGGCCAGAAAACCGGACTGAACCGGAGGAAGTTGGGAAGTTGAGAAAGAAAATCGGACTGAATCGGAAGGAGCAGTAATGATACCAACAATTTGATCACTACTATCCAGAGGGAGTTGAGAAATGGGGTCAGAAAACCGGACTTAAATGGCGAACTAGACCGTCCGGTTCAGTTCGGCGTGATTTGCTATTTTTGAGTCGTGGGTTGAAAAACCGAATTAGAACATACATTCTAGTTCGGTGCATCTTTCAGTGTAAAATTAGAGAACCAAAGGGTCGGGTCCAGTCCAGTCTTGAACCTTGGATTGGTTACCCACCCTGTAATTTTTCTTTTTTCAATAGGAATCCAAATCAAAAACAAAATGTGAATTAAGACTAAAGACGCACTTGATACTACAATATAGTCATATTTCGCCGTCACAAATGCGCTGCCAAAATATGACTTGTAAAATGCTGCTGGTTTGTTCTACTGCTATATTTGAGAATGCAGAGAACCATATGAATTGTATCTTGTTCAGGCTAACCGGTAACAAGCTTTACTACTCTGCAGCCAATCTGCCCATTAGATTCTGTACGGCATCAACCGATATGAGCAAATATCCTTTAGCTAGTACTCAAGGGAAACCAGAAGAGTCCTATAACCATAAGTAAGACCCCCGGAAGTGGAACTCCGATAGAATAAAGCCCAGCATCCTCCTTCGGAATGGTTATCGAAGCATTTGGACTAGTACTTGAGGGAAACCAGAAGACTCCTATAACCACAACATTTCTAATTGATTCTTGAACAACGTCGTGGCTTGTCTAACGTAAGTACCCCCTTACATTTGAATCTATACGAGTTTGAAGTTCACAAATCGAAGCAAATGCCAAAAGTAGTAACTAGACAGAGAAGCAGAGACGCACATTGTGTTAATCAACAAAACAAAGTGTGCTTCAACCAATAAAAGTAAATTGAGCTGGGTCGCCTATTTTCGTATCTGTGGAGAATTGACAATAATGACAAGTTACAAGTCGAAAAAGGATCTAAATCAGTTCAATTGTAACACCCTATAATTTTCCGTTACAGTATGATATATCATGGCAAATTCTAACTGTGAAATGCAGTCTATGGTCATCCACTAGCTAGATTCGAGAAAGTGGTCAGCCATTCAAATACATTACTTCTCGACACTAACCTGTAATTCCAATGTTCTGCAGTCATTGCTTCTTCAGCAAGCAGTCATGCTTGAACCTGTTCAAATTCAAGGGATGCAGAACCATAGGTCTATACTGACAATATTTCAGACAAAATAAGAAAATAACAAGACAAAAACATCAGCGTTGATTGATAAAATATCTATTCATTACAATGAGATTTTCCATGGACAAGTTTTCATATTTTGAAATCGTTGCATAACGATCTCATGTTCGACACTATCAAGAATGTCTTTCTCAATATATGCAATCCAACTATCATCCGTCCTTTGATCTTCCATTTGATTGAGTAACCGGTTCTTCACAATCCTCGTAGCACAAAACGCCCTCTCTACAGTAGGAGTTGCAACTGGTAAGATAAGTGCCAATGTCAACAGCAAGTAAACTAATGGGTAAACACTGTCTTTTTCTGTCTCAACCATTTTCTGTGCAAGATCTGCAATCCCATTCAATCCTGAAAACTCAATGCTGGAGCGCAAGTCCATAATGTACATCTTAAGCTGATCTTCAAGTATCATCAAGTCAAGTGCAGAAAAGTCATTTGGGTAATACTGAGCAAGCCGAGTCAACTTTTTCTTGTCAAAAGCAGAGAATGAATCGCTTGGATTCAAACATGCCACACAAAGAAGCAACTCAGTATTCAACTCAGCGAAACGAATATTTAGCTCTTGAAGTTGCATGTCAATAACATTACAATACACATCAACACGATAATGATGCATGTTTGTTACCACCGGAGGTTTTTTTATCCCTATAGTTTGAAACATGTCATTCATGTTAGGAACTTTAATCTGATGTTTGTCACAGAAAGAAAAAACCTGATTGAGTAAAGAATCCCAACCACTCTCCTTCATCATTTTCAGCTCTTCTTTACATCTTCTGACTAAGTTAATGGCGTTCACGATATCCTGGTCTTTTTTTTGTAATGCCTGTGACAAAGCATCTGTGATTCCCAAAACATTTATCATCATATGTAAACTAAAAATACAATCGAAGGACCAGAGGGAACCCAATAGAACCTCTGCTTTACATTTCTGCTCAGTCTTTGATCCAAAATCTGCTATGACCTCAAGTACATCTATCACAGATGAGAACATGGTAAGCACGCTTGTTAAATTCTTAAACTTTGAGCTGCCTTCATTCAGACCTTGTCCACTTAGAAGATCACTGGTATTGAGTGCTTCAGATACCAAAGCACCATGTTTCTTCTGAAGAGTATCACGACATTCAACAAATGCCCCAACAATATTCACCAGATTGGCAACCGAGGTAAAGAGACCAAAGATTTCAAAATGATCCTTTGCCACACCAATAAGTGTTGAATGAAGATCGTGAGCAAAGCAATGAACATAATAGGCATACTCGTTCTCCTTCATTATAAGTGTCTTAAGACTATTCAACTCACCTAGCATATTACTTGTCCCACCATAACCTTGCCCCCGTAGCTTTGACATGCTTAATCCATGAGTAGAAAATAAATCATCAATAGCCACCTTACGTGAGACAGCAGTATTATTAGTGGCTTGTACAATGCCTAAAAAACGCTCAATCACATGACCTTTATCCACAAAGCGTATAACAATAGCCAATTGATTCATTGGAGACTTTTCATGAAGTTCATCGATAAGAATGGAAAAATACGAATCACCAATATCTTTAGCTATTGCGTTGATGATTTCCATTGAAAAAGCAGTTATAATGTCCTTCTGAGTATCAGGTGAAGTCAACTTCAGACTTAAGGGGGGATTTCTCAATGTGATAGCTTTTAACTCCTCATGACGACCACATTGGAAGTTCCAGAGTCCAAGAAAAACACCTTCGTTGTTTGAACCTTCATATTCCTCATCATCTCCGCAATATATAAGCCCTTGATGCAAAAGAAACCTCATACAAACAATTGATAAACCCAAAAGAGTTTTATATTCCCTTCGTGCTTGGTTCTGCTTCAATAAACCATCGTAGGTTCTCCAAGCTTGGTTGTGGGCGCTATTACATCCTCCAACGTGACCCTGCAACCTTTCTTTCTTCTTCCAATTCGAAAACCCTTTACTAATAAAACAATCACCGCCCGCTTGCTCTCCCGTATTTGGCTTAAACAGATAACAACACAGACAATAAGCAGCGTCTTTTGCTATACTATATTCCAACCAAGTCGGAAACTCATCAAACCAAGCAGGAATAAACCTTCTCGGTCCACCACCAATATTCTTGTAGGGGAAGTCGTGATCTCGAGGCTGGAAAGGACCCTTTTGTATATAAACTCTTCGAACTTGCTCTCGAACATTGGGATGGTAATCCCAAATTCGAGTCCGCAGTCCGGGATCAACAGGCAGATCTTCCAAGTTGATTTCAACGCAAGCATGTTTCGAGCTTTTATCGTTCTCCTTCGGAGGCAATGACGACTCCACCGACTCATCAGACGATTTTCTTTTGAAATACCTTTCCATGGCGGTTCTGTTTCAAAATTTGGGTCTATTAGCAAACATATCATATAAACCAGAAATTCTTTGAAATCCCAATAACTCTTCCAGAAATTATCATCAAAACAAACAGAAATACCACAAAAATTAAATCTTTCTAAATTACTGCAAAGTACACACAGTCCATTGAATTAAATGTACTGAGAAGAAAAGGTAAAAAGATTGGGGCTTTTTACCTCTGCTGAGACTGAGAGAGCCTGAGTGAAGAAAACTTGATGCTTCAGAGATCACTGGGCGTGCGGATGAGCGAGAAAGGGCGACATTTGAGAGTGAGAAGGAGAGAGGGAAAGTGAGAGAGCTGAAAGGGCTTTGAGTCGTCAGACGTCTGTGAGCGAGAAGGGGAGGGAAATAACTCAATAAGGGCAAAGAAAAGATTACTGGCGGGCCTTAGGGCATTTTTGTATTTTCAGTCCATCTGATATATCAGATAATTGGGTCCGTCCGGTAAGGTTTTAGAAATAGATTGTTAGATCAACTCCAGCCCTCCCAAATAGGCTGGCCCAAAGTCTCCGAAAACAACCTAGCCCCCCAAAAATCCCCCACCCCGCAAAATAAGCTGGCCCAAAGTCAACCTCAGCTTCTAGGCCGGCCTAGAATGGACTGAGGGAGGAACCGGCTCATCTGAAGTCATGCCGAGCCACAGGTCGAGTTTTTTTTTTTTGCAGTTGGCGCGTGGGCGCGCATTTCTGCATTAAAAAAAATGTCAGAATCTTGACGTGGGCCACGTGTCCACTTTTAGGCTATTGGATTTCAACCTTTTTTAAATCAAATGATTCAAATTACTTAACTTAATAAAAAATTGTTTAAAAATACAAAAAAAAAAATTAAACGAATTTTTTTATATAAATACCTAACCATCTTCCACAAAAATTGTACTTTCAGAAAATGACAAGTGGCATGACAAGATTGTTTAAAAATTCTATCCAAAATTAAAAATAAAATTATTTTTTATTATTTTATAAAAAAAATTAATAATATTTTAATATGAATTGACTAGACTCTTGCCCGGCTCATTTTTTAGGGGTGGAGATGCACTTGGCCAAATAATGTTCATTGCAGTCAATTACTATTCATTTGGGTGGATTAAATGAACTTTGGGCCAGCTCATTTTTTAGGGGTGGAATTGCTCTAAAAAAAATATTCTGTGAAACAAAAAGGACAAGTACGGTTTTGCATTTTTATGATTGGAGAATGCATCAAGAAGTTTAATTCGAAAATAATTTTTTAGAACGAAAACGCTAAAAACACGTCTAGTTTTGATATTTAAAATGTCAAAAGAAAATTATAAATTCATGTTTGATAGTAATGGTGGTGGTGGTGGTGGTAGTGGGATGTATGTGGTAGCAACGGCGCCTGCTATGGTAGTAGATGATGATTGTGTTAACAATGGTTGTGAAAATTGTGGTTGAAAGCAGTGGCATTCAGGATTCCAACCTTTGGCGTTCCAATGTTAAGGGTCTAAGTTTATTTAGATAGAACCAGCAAGCAAAAAGCATTTCATAAAAAATAAACAACAACAACAAAGCCTTTTCCCACTAAGTGGGGTCGACTATATGAATCCTAGAACGCCATTGCGCTCGGTTTTGTGTCATGTCCTCCGTTAGATCCAAGTACTCAAGTCTTTTCTTAGGGTCTTTTCCAAAGTTTTCCTAGGTCTTCCTCTACCCCTTCGGCCCTGAACCTCTGTCCCGTAGTCACATTTTCGAACCAGAGCGTCAGTAGGCCTTCTTTGCACATGTCCAAACCACCGGAACCGATTTTCTCTCATATTTCCTTCAATTTTGGCTACTCCTACTTTACCTCGGATATCCTCATTCCCAATCTTATCCTTTCTCGTGTGCCCATACATCCCACGAAGCATCCTCATCTCCGCTACACCCATTTTGTGTACGTGTTGATGCTTCACCGCCCAACATTTTTTTTTGTGCATACAACATCGCTGGCCTTATTGCCGTCCTATAAAATTTTCCCTTGAGCTTCAGTGGCCTACGACGGTCACACAACACGCCGAATGCACTCTTACACTTCATCCATCCAGCTTGTATTCTATGGTTGAGATCTCCATCTAATTCTCCGTTCTCTTGCAAGATAGATCCTAGGTAGCGAAAACGGTCACTTTTTGTGATCTTCGCTAGATTGCTCCGGTCATTAGTGTGGATAAGTATATAAATGGATAAAAATAGGAAAGCAAACACAAGATGTACGTGGTTCACCCAGATTAGCTACGTCCACGGAATAGAGGAGTTCTCATTAATTGTGAAGGGTTTACATAAGTACATAGGTTCAAGCTCTCCTTTAGTGAGTACAAGTGAATGATTTAGTACAAATGACATTAGGAAATATTGTGGGATAATGATCTCGTAACCACGAAACTTCTAAGTACCGAAGTGTGGTATCGTCTTGACTTGCCTTATCTGTCTCATAGGTAGATGTGGCATCTTCTCTGGAAGTACTCTTCCTCCATCCAGGGGTGGTATCTGTAACTGGTAGAGATGCACAAGGTAATGTATCAATTTCACTTGAAGCTTACTTGTAGTTTCAGGCTTGGTCAAGCGCGATACAAACCATGTAGTAGGAGTCCCCCAAGTCGCCGGGCTAGGGGATCTGCTGAAAGAGGTGACAGACAAGGTAAGCAATCAGAGCTCCGGCTGATTGTTCACATTCTCCCTATCTTGCAGGCAGCATGAAGGATAAAGAGAAGAAAAATGAGAAGAGATGATATGGGATACTTTTGCTTTTGAAGAAGTAACTTTCCACAGGCTTATTCTTGAACCGGGCTGGAGGGTTTTCTGGTTTCCTCCAGAGTATAAGGCCGACTGAAGAATTTGAGGGTCAAAACAAGTCCATCAAATCTAGAGTACGTTCGACCCTGCTGATATGGGATACTTTTGCTTTTGACAGAGTAGTGGATGTATCGGCACGTGTGCTGTTACGCTTGTCTCCACATGCTTCCTTGTATCCTTTTCACTTGCCCTATCTGTTCCTCAGGCAGATGCGGTATCTTCCCTGGAAGCATAACATATTGGGTGGCACTATTGAGCTTGAGAGAGAGGGGGCTGCGGGTTCAGTATCTAATGGTTGCTGGAGCGGTGAAAATGGTTCAGCAACTCCCTGCTGACACTCTGCATCACACTCGGCAGCATATTGCCGAGAAGACTCAACTGGTTCAGTGCTACTTGGCTGAATGATACTCACATTCTCAGCAGTGTCTTGCTGAGATTCACTGTCTCCATTCTCGGCAGTGTCTTGCCGAGAGCTTTCACAACTTGTTTTGTCAATAAATACTCCCCCTGAGCTACATATTTCCAACCACCCAAGATCACCACTCATATTCTCCCCCGGGTGATCGGAAGGTGATGGAGTCGAAGCATAAAAGAACTCGAATTCGGAAAAGGTAACATCCATAGTTACATACATATGACGAGTTTCAGGGTGGTAGCACTTATACCCTTTCTGTTGAGGAGCAAATCCCAGAAAAACACACCGATGAGCACATGGATTGAACTTACTACGATGAATCTTGTGAATGTGAACATAGGCTACACACCCAAATACACGAGGAGAAAGAGTATTAGTTGACACTACTGGAATAAACTCTGTCAATACTTGGAGAAGTGTACGAAAATCCACAACCCGGGATGGCATACGGTTAATCACATACACGGCATAGGTGACAGCTTCAAGCCAGAACCGTTTAGGTACAGATGCACCAATGAGCAAGGCACGGGCAGTTTCCAGGATATGACGGTTCTTTCTTTCAGCAACCCCATTTTATTGTGGGGTATGAGGACAAGTAGTCTCATATAGAATTCCTTGATCCCGAAGAAAGCCGGACAACTCGGAACCAATATACTCACCTCCATTATCAGAGCGGAGAACCTTAATAACAGAGGAATATTGTGTTGCAACCATTTGAACGAATGATCGAAACACCATACCCACATCACTTTTATTCTTCATCACATAAATCCAAGTCATACGAGTGCAGTCATCAACGAAGGTAACAAACCATTTAATTCCAGACAAAGTACTAACAGGAGAGGGACCCCAAACATCAGAGTGCACAAGTTCAAAAGGAAATAATCTTTTATTCATACTAGGAGGAAACGAAACGCGATGACTCTTCGCGAGAATACATACCTCACAATGTAAGTCTGATTCTTTTATTTCATGAAATAAATTAGGCAACATACGCCTTAAATAACCAAACGAAGCATGTCCTAACCGACGATGCAATAACCAAACTTCCTGTAAATTATTGGTACGGGATGGTCGAACTGCATTAGCTCTGCCAGGAACGACGTCATCCACATAATATAACCCCTCTCTCTTAGTGCCACGTCCAATTATCTCCTTGGTCTGAATATCCTGAAGCAAACAAAACATTGGATACATAAGTACAACACAATCTAATTGCTAAGTAACTTAAGGAATAGATAGCAAATTATGAGACAACGAGGGAACAAGTAGGCAGTGATGAAGGGGAAGGGCTGGCGTGAGGTTCACAATGCCGGCCCCCAAAACTGGTGTTGTTGTTCCATTAGCAATTGCAATACACTTCCGTGAACTGGTTGTCATACTAGTAAATAAATTCTTATCAAAAGTCATATGATCGGTTGCACCGGAATCCAAAATCCAACCTATATTCACCACTGTAATAACTCACGAGACACCGATACACGGTAATTATAGTACCAAACAAATTACAGAACCACACGTTGCAAGAGACACAGAGAGCAGCACTTGAAAACCAAATTACACTTTCAATCCCTTATTTTCCCTTCGTTATGACCAACACACGTCATAAACAAGAAAGACAATCCCTTTTTTTTATTTTCACGCAGCAACTTAGAAAGCAACAATAAAAGCACACTTGCAATTGTGCACGACACACGGCACAACAATTGTCTCTTCCTATAGGTATGCAGCGGAAAAAACAAAAAAAAACAAAAAACCGCAGTGCACAGCAGTTGTTCTCCTTCGTTCCTCACGACACCAGTAGCACGGAAGCACGACACAGTTTGTACTTTGAAGCAGCAGTAGGATCACAGCCTGCAATACAAGAATACATGGCCTGAATTGATTTCTGCAACAACTGCGCAGGAACCAATTCGACCGACACAACAGCGGACGGAAAAAGTTTTACAGTTTCTAGGGTTACGACAGCTTGGCTCTGATGCCAAATAGAATTTTACGGCTTGATTTTCATGTATTGCATATTCTAAATAAATAGTACATATAATCCTTGTTACAAAATGAAACAAAGTAAATAACACAATATCCTTCCTAAAACATGACTCTAATAATTACAAGATATTTATA